ATGAAGAAGCAACTGATTAAGGTCCAAGTAAAGACCAGTTCAAGTGGGCTAGAAAGAAGCCCAATACCAAGCCCGACTCGAAATTAAGTCCATATTACAATCGAGTCTCCAAAAAACGCCCACACCCATTTCAAAGCCCATCTCATCTACAATGATGCTACAACTACAAAAAGCTTTCACAAACCATTTACCGACTCCTTGCTATACAAGTTTTTTCACTTTCTATCTGTGTCGTGTTGCATTCTTGTCCAACAAGGAGTAGGATTTTATTTTAGGGCCTGACTTTGCTTGGTTCTGATCATCTGTTTTCACTTTCTATGCACATGCTTGTTAATTACGATGAAGTTGATTGTATTCAATGAATTTCGTTGAGCAGAAGGTAGGGAAGATAATATATGCATATGTACAAAAAATAGTTCCCCATCAAACACCGTTTCAATTTGGTTCAATTTGATGCAAATAAGTCTTTGACATATTTAAGTTATAGTTTGACTAAATTCCACTTATATACCCATTTTACCTTTATTTAAAAATGCATTATTTTATTAAATATCCAAAATAGTCATTTAGTACATGTGGGTTGTGATAAGCACCGTAAGTATATTATATGAGTGTTTTTTATGCTTTATAAATTATTGTTATTTTAAATATTTTGATTTTAATGGTTAGATTTAATTGATCAATTGTAACATTCTATGGTTATTTTTATTTTCTTTTTGTGGCTAGATGCAGTGTAACTTAATACGAATCAAATTTTTTTATTTATTAGAGGTGTAAATTAAAGTGCAATTCTACTAGTTCTTGCAGGAACAATCAACCTGCTACTCTTAGAAATCAATTCAATGAAGCAAATATTTGGTCTGCAAATACAGGATATGTTTGACCTATTTATAGTAGTATCTAAGCAAAGATTTATTAGATAGATAGTTCGGATATGCTTCATCATGCCCCCATTCAATTGGAGTGTGGCAACTGGACAAGCTTTTAAGATGTAGCTTTGTAATTTTTTTTTTTTATAACTTGAAAAGTATTTGACTAATTCTTCAAATGACATTTCGTGATTGGGTGGGGATATAATTGTCTTTGTACATGTTTGTTACGCACTAATATTTCTTGGTGCCTTTTATGAAAGAAAACGAAAATAAGCAATTCATGCTGAGCCATGCTTTGAAATATCAAATTTTTTAGAACTGAAACAAAGCATTCCTATTGTGTTGCCAAAGTCTTATTGGAAGAGTTTCTACAGATAAATCAATAATGCATGTACATAGAAGAGAGTTTATTTTCTCAAGTCCCTTTGTGGATTACTTAAGAAATTAATTTGAAGGTAGACATCTCTAAGTATGAAAATATTGAGCTTGGAGACAGAATTTTGCAGATAAATCAATAATGTATGTACATAGAAGACCGGGCTGGTCTTGAGATTCCAAATATTTGGAGAGACCCTAAACGAACTTTCAAATGTAAGGCCCTTAAGTTTCATACGCGCAAGATAAGAGTGCAAAATTTTCACACCATGTTTTCAAATTATGTAGCTAATATAATTGTGCGCCTGTGCATTATGCATAAGACAATTAACTAATAACTATAAATTTATCACCACCAACAAGTAATTGTGCACGTGTACGGTGTGCATAAGACAACTAACTAATAACTATAAATCTATCACCACCAATAAATAATTGTGCGCCTGTATAGTGTGCTTAAAACAATTAACTAATAATTAATTCATAAATAACTAATAACTATAAATCTCTCTCTCTCTCTATCTTATCTCTTCTTTTGCATCAATCGATCTTTTATATATGTTTCTTTCTTTCGTTAATCTCATCATTTGATTTGTTCTAACTTTGGTTCCATGTTCCCTGCGTGGTGGTCCTTGATGTAATAATTATTGCATTATTTGATTCCGTGTGATATTAATTATTGCATTATTTGACTCCATGTTCCCTGCGTGGTGGTTCTTGATGTAATAATTATTGCATTATTTTATTCCATGTGATATCAATTATTGCATTATTTGATTCCATGTTCCTTGGGTGGTGGTCCTTGATGCAATAATTATTGCATTATTGGATTCCATGTGATATCAATTATTTGAATCTTTAGTTTTTCCTGTTCTGCCTGTCGGCTCTCCACAGAGGGTACAGTCTACGACGTTTGTCTTCAATGCAAGTTTTTGCTGCACAAATTGTGAGCTGAATTGCCGCTGCAGAGTAATTTACTCAAAATTCCTTTAGAATCAGAAGAAAAGAGATGGAGAAGTTTGAAAATTTCAGCCACAGGCATTACTTGACCCTCGACCAAAAGGAACGTAAAGAGGGGGATCAAATGACCTGCTATGGTTGCACAAACAAAATCTGGAGTGATTTCTATGGTTGCACGCACTGCAAACATTACATCTGCAAATCATGTTTTGGATTGCCGCCAGAGATGCTACACCCCTTTCACAAGGAACATCCCCTCACTCTTCTCGCTGAATCACCTTATAAAGAAGCAAGTGCATCACCGTACTGCCACGCCTGCCGGGTGAAATGTGAAGGGTTCATTTTCCACTCTCACACTTTGATTCAAGTGGGCTAGAATAAGCCCACTACCAAGCCCGACTTTTAATCAAATCCATATATCAATCCACTCCACAGAAAAACCCCTACCCGTCTCAAAGCCCAGCCCATCTACAAGGCCACAGCTACAAAAAAGGCAAGTGATCAAACAAAACAGTGTCATATCATATCATCAACGCCACAAAGTGACAGTTAAAATACTGTTCTCTCTCCCGCGAAAAAGCTTTCACAAACAATTTGTTTATTAGCTGTTAGAGAACTGGAAAGGCAAGTGAGTCTCGTGGAGGGCTCCTTCTCTTACTTAACATCCCCACCATCTTTTTCAGACCTCACCCTTTTCAGTTCTCCATCTCTTTCTCTCTCTCTAGATTGTCTTTTTGCTTTGTTTCTGGTCAGGAAAAGGATTAGTCAGAAAAAATATGGTGAAAGAAACAGAGTACTATGATGCTCTTGGCGTTAGTCCTTCCGCTACCGAGGTGGAGATTCGCAAGGCATACTATCTCAAGGTTCCAAATTTAATCTTAAAAACCCCAATTTTATCTCAAGTCTTCGGTATTTGTAATTTAATGGTTATATATATATATATATATATATTATGATCAGCTTATACATTTACTTTCTTTAGAAATCTTATATTGATGCTTGCAGTGTAATGATTATATGTTTGTGCCTGTAGGGGTGGAGAATTTGATGGATTAAATATATTATTTAAGAATCTATAGCATAATTGAATAGAGCTTACAAAAAATTTCAATCATTTATTTTATTCTAGATAGTTTAGAAATAGTATTTCTATTTAAATTTCAATGCAGAATGTTTGCCCAATCTTGAATCAGAGTTAGGTATGAAGTTTTGTTTGGTTAAAGTAGGATATGGGTTTTTTTTAGTTACCATGCCACCAACACACACATTGTGTTTGTTTAAATTCCCAATAACGGATTTTTCCTATATTTGAGCTAGGTCATAATGATATACAAGCAATCATAGTTCTTTAAGGTTGTTTTATTGATCTTGAGTGGATTCTTGTGGATTTAATTTTTTTTTTTTTTTTTCCTTTTTATGTTTTTCTATTGCTTATGCAATTTTTACACCATATTTTCTAAATAGATAATTGTAAACCTTTATGTTATATTTTTGGTATTCTTATGGTAATTGTAGAAGAGCTGATCCATTTTCTGTTATACTTAGCGCCTTTCATATATATAGTTGTGTTTGCATTCTTCCTTCCGGCTAAACATTCGGAGCCTCGCCTGTCATACATTAAGCTTAACCCTCTCTGGTTTTCTTGTCTCTCCTTTACACTTCCTCTTTCACTTGTTGGATCTGAATATATAATTCTCTCTTACCCTCACGCGCAAATTTTTAGGGAAGTAATTTCCCCCAAACCCTGTAAGACAGCTGCTGTGCCAACAATATACCAAGTAGAAACAGAGTTAATTGATTGTTGTTTTCCTTTCTTTCTTTCTTTTTCTTTTCTTTCATCTTAAATTATAAAGGACAAGTTATAATATTATGATATATCAACCGTGAGAAGAGGGTGTCTCCTTACATATTTGGAGGCAAGTATTGTTCTAATTGTTATATGAAAGACCAATAAATTTAATGTAAAACATGATTTAAGTTGGATTTCAGTCCTTTTATAATTATTTGTACAGGCAAGACAAGTTCATCCTGATAAAAATCCGAATGACCCTCAGGCTGCCGAAAGATTTCAGGCAAGTCCATTGGATTGAACACTTTCAGCATGCTTCAACAATAAGCTTAGGCCCTCAGCACACAGGAGAAAGAGGAAAGGAGATAAGGGATCCCCTTGGTGCAGACCCCGTGAGGGTTGAAAACATCTTCCCGCTTCGCCATTGATAACCACATAAAATGAAACTGATGAAACACAAGACATAATAATAGAGCACCATTTAGGGTGGAAACCAAAACCCTGAAGCATACCCTCAAGGAAACTCCATTCAAGACGATCATAGGCTTTTTCCATGTCCAGTTTGAAAGCGAGGAAACCCTGCTTGCCACTCAACTTGGACTTGAGATAGTACAAAAATTCATGTACCAGAAGAATATTTTCATGAATAATTCTGTTGCGCACGAAAGCTGATTGATGATCAGAAATGAGGTACTTCATGAGAGGGCGAAGGCGGTTAGCTAGAGCCTTTGAGAAAATTTTGTAAATGACATTGCATAGGCTAATTGGCCGAAAGTGAGACATTTTAGTAGGATGCTGACTTTAGGGATAAGCACAAGGTTTGTATGATTAATACTGCGGAGCATGTGACCGGATTCAAAGAAAGCATTGAAACCATTAAGCAAATCAACTTTAACGACATCCCAGTTTTGTTGAAAGAAGAGGGGGGTGAAACCGTCAGAGCCTGGGGCCTTAAAAGGGCCCATGGAAGATAAAGCAAGCTTCAACTCTTCCTTTGTACCTCTTTTGAAATAATAGAGGGAACAAGGTTCCAGAAATCAGCACCTGGATTAGAAGAGGTGGACTAAAAGAGACTCTGAAAGTACTGCTCCGCAATGCCGCGCACCACTTCTTTAGAGTCATGCCAGAGGCCCTGCTCATCTTCAATGCCCGAAATCTCATTTTTGCGACGGCGAATAACAGTTTTGCGGTGAAAGAAAGCCGTGTTCTTATCCCCAAGATTTAACCAAGCCAAGCGAGACTTTTGCTTCCAAAAAATTTCCTCATTACGCCACTCCTCTGCCAACTCCTTTTCAAGCTGAAAGATCTCTGAGCGATCAAAAAGGTGGCAATTGGATTTCGAAGTATCAAGCTGGCCTTGGATTTGCTGAATGCGAGTATAAGAATTATTAGAACGACCCCTGTTCCAGCTCTTGAGATTAGCTTTTTAGGCATTAAGTTTCTCTTTGATTCTAAAAAGGATGGAGCCCTGGAAAGGTGAATCACAAGAATCTTTGACAATGTTGGAACAGTCGGGGAATTTCAGCCAGCGAGCGTCAAAGTGGAATTGTCTCGAGCCATGAGGAACTTGAACATTTAGATCCAGCAAAAGAGCTACATGATCAGAGCCAGAGACTGGGAGGTGAAGGAGAGAGTAATAAGGAAAAGCGCTCAACCATTCTTGAGAGCAAAGGCCTCTATCAATCCGGGTCCATATCGTGTGAGGATGCTCCCTTTGATTACACCAAGTATAAGGGAACCCTTTGAAACCCGTATCCAAAAGGTTATATGTGATATCAATTATTGCATTATTTGATTCCATGTTCCTTGCGTGGTGGTCCTTGATGTAATAATTATTGCATTATTGGATTCCATGTGATATCAATTATTGGATTCCTGTTCTGCCTGTCGGCTCTCCACAGAGGGTACAGTCTACGACGTTTGTCTTCAATGCAAGTTTTTGCTGCACAAAATGTGAGCTGAATTGCCGCTGCAGAGTAATTTACTCAAAATTCCTTTAGAATCAGAAGAAAAGAGATGGAGAAGTTTGAAAATTTCAGCCACAGGCATTACTTGACCCTCGACCAAAAGGAACGTAAAGAGGGGGATCAAATGACCTGCTATGGTTGCACAAACAAAATCTGGAGTGATTTCTATGGTTGCACGCACTGCAAACATTACATCTGCAAATCATGTTTTGGATTGCCGCCAGAGATGCTACACCCCTTTCACAAGGAACATCCCCTCACTCTTCTCGCTGAATCACCTTATAAAGAAGCAAGTGCATCACCGTACTGCCACGCCTGCCGGGTGAAATGTGAAGGGTTCATTTTCCATTGTTCGGAATGTAAATTTGACCTAGACGTTAATTGTGCTACGCTACTTATGCCCACCACCAACAACAACAAGGCAAGTGAGCAACAAACTCACCCTCATGCCTTGATTCCTTGTTATACTAAGTACAAGCAGATTGAATTTTTGTGCTGTGTGAGCAAGCAATCCATCAACGGCACCATCTATGTTTGTTTAAGTTGCCGAGCTATCGTGGATGAATCATGTAGCCAACTGCCACAGCAGATAACACATCACATTCACCCTCGCCGTACTCTCACACTTACAAATTATGGTGTTAAATATTTTAAAAGTTGCAAAGCCTGCGGGGTTTCTAAGAATCGCTTCTGCTACACCTGTTCCGGCTGTTCTGAGTGTTTTGGGCGGTTCAAATTTCATCTGGACGTAAGGTGCGCTTCTCTAATCCCCAAAAACCAACTGCAGGAGGAGGTAGTTGTTCAAGCACCCGCTTCATTCACCCACCCGCATGGTTTGATTCCATGTGATAGCAAAGGGTTTTTTAATTTTTCGTGTTCCGCCTGTTAGCTATCCATAGACGGTCCAGTCTACGTTTGCCGTCAATGCAATTATTTGCTGCACAAATCATGCGCTGAATTGCCACTTAAAATCAATCACCCCTTTCATCCACATCCTCTTGTGCTGATTGATACAAGCAGCCATTTCCAATGCCAGGCGTGTAAATGTTCTGTTTTGGGCTTCAGGTACTCGTGTAACAATTGTGACTTTGAGATGGATGTTACATGTGCTTCGCTAACGAACTTCCCTCTCAAATTTCAAGTCCACCAGCACCCTCTTGCTTACTTCAATGACAACAGCTCTAGATTTGTTACATTTACCAAAAAAGAAAAGGCTAACTCAGTTACGTGCAGCACTTGTACAAATTTTACAGGTTTCCCTTTCTTTCGATGTGTGCCATGCGATTTCAGTATTAAGTTGTGCTGTCTTTCGATATTACCACATACTTTTAAACATAGCAATCACAGACATTCACTCATCCTCACTTATTCTCACATCAAAGACAATTCAGACGATGACGATGACTCAGAATATTACTGTGACGTTTGCGAGGAACTAAGAGAGCTGCGAGAGTCAACTTATTATTGTAAGGACTGTCATTATGTTGCTCATACTAGTTGCGTGTTCCACGAGGTATACCCCAATTTTCAGCTATTACATTAGTCTTAGATTGCTTACTATTTGATTGGGTATGATTATCTTAATAATTAATAAATAATTTTTAAAAATCTCATGAAAATTAATCAGATTTCGTGGTATTAGAAAATTAACCATAACTAGTAGACTTTGCAATAAGTCCAACTCTGCTTCTCCTTTAGCTTCTAAATTCCTAAATATTACAAATGCATAAATGAGATTTCATTTCATTTTCTTTTCTTTTCCGAAATCCCAATTCTAAGAAATTTGGCTCTACTTTTATTCTTTTGCATTTGTTATATTAAATTGCTCAACACATCTCCAATATGTTTTCAATTTTTAATTTTTTTTTTTAATTAGGATAGCATTGAAACAAGAAATTTACATAAGTATCTGTAATATCCGAAATATGTAAAATGCATTAAAAAAGTTACTCAGCCTATATACTATTTAGTATTAACAAAATGTAGATATGATATAATAAAATTTTCCATGTTGAGTAAAATCTCAACAAGTGATGGACCATGAATTTAGACAAAAATTCTAATTATATATTCCAAAAATGCTTTTTGTGATTGGAAAATCATTAAATAGTAGCCCATTATATAAATTTATTTACATTCATGCTGCAAACGATTATTTTCATGTGTCTTCTGCATTTTGTTTTTTTGGTTACATTAACAATGTACTAAAGCCTAACTCTTTGAGTTTTTGGTTGCGTGTCAGATTCTTCCTTTACTAGAGGGAGAGAGTGGCTGGAGGACATGTGGTGAAGAGATTATAAAGCTTCAAGCGAAGGAATATGCACTGATCATGAAAATAGAGATACTAACAACAATGTTGAATAAACTTAAGGAGAATCGTGAGCTTCATGTTAGGGAGTACCAAATTGGTAAGTTGTTTCTGTACTCAGTTGTATTAGGACAAAGTTACATTTTTATTGTTGGTTATGTGAAGTGTGGTTAATATGTAACTAGATGATTTGAGGATGGTACTTGGTCAGTGGACTTGATGATAAGAATTATGCAGGGCTAACAGAAGCCGAGACCGGAAATGCGTCAACAGATCAGAAAACATTTGCAAGTGCTGTTTCAGATCATCCTGTCATTACCAAACTAGATGAAGAGATTGTAATTCTTCAAGCAGATGCAGATGCACTGACAAAAAAGTTAGAGAAACTAACGACAAAGTTGCATAAACTTAAGGGGGATATCCGCAACACGCTGGTGGCTACGAAATTGGTAAGTCGTTTTATACTCACTTGTAATGGGAAAAAGTTATAATGTTTGTTTTTGGGAGTGTGGAGTGTAACACCTAACATAGTAATTTTGAAGAAATTGATGTTGTGGGTGTTTTCATGTGTTATGACTATATACTTTAATAAATAATTTCAAAAAGAGAAAAAAATTGTAACGAGAAAATCATAATTGATTTTGCATTTAATTTTCACTTATGATGACCTCCCCAACTTATAGATCTCACTACTTCTCTGAATCAACTTTCATGCCATCTTCCCGTGTCCGTCTCTCATACTTCAGAAATTTTCAAGAAAAAGTAAGGTGCCAAGAGATATTTTTGTCCAGATATGGTAATGATTTTTTAAACACATTATTAGCATATCAGTTATGTTTTCAAAAGAAACAACACTTTAGTTATGTTTTCAGAAAAAAGGTATGCATGGTTTGTAACTTTGAAAACAGTTCTCAAGAATTCAGATAACAGAAAACAGTTCTCAAGAATTCAAAGAAAAGAAAACAGTTTTCAGATAACAATAAAAGATAGTTATCTGAAAACAGACTTTTTTATAACTGAGTTTTTATAAAACAGTTTTCAGAAAACTGAACCAAATAGCAGAAAACTGTTTTCAAAGTAATAAACCAATCAGACATTTTCAAAAATTACATCAGTAATTGTAATGCAAAAGAGAATTATGGGAATTTAGAATATATATAGAATTGAGATGCTGGAACTAAAATTTTTTGTAGTGGGACAATTTTTGGATTTTTAACATGATAACTGTCAACTAAAAGAACTTCAGATAGTTTCCATGCTGAAAATAGGTGGCTTAGGAGTGAGGAAGATAATAGAAATACAGAAAAGAAACAACAGGCTATGGCAATGACCAAAGAGTTATTGAAACAACCAAAAGCCTAATATATTCAGATCTAACTTATAAAATTTTATGAAGAAGAATTATGAATTTGAAATGTGTATGGAATAATTTTTTTTCAAGAAAATCATTTAAAAGTTTTGAAAGATACCCTTGCAAATTTTTTTCCCCGGTAAATATACCCTAGCAATTTATTCATAGTGACTTGTGTGATCTTAGAAATATACAAACAAATAGTACGAATTTTTTTTTTTTTATTACATCTATAGATATGCGTTTTTGCCTATTATACTTATTATGAACAACGAGTGAAGATTTTAAAAAAATTAAAATATATAATGAACAAGTAGAAAATAAATTGAGAAAAAGAATACAAATTTATCTTATGGAGGTGGTAAATAATGATAGTTTAGCTTTATTAGAATTTTGTGAATCTATAAGTAACCTCTTAACATTCTTAGAAACGAAACCAGTAGTCACCTTGATTTATTGATGACATAATGGAACGGAATGTTAAAAAAGAGGGAAACAATGTCGATCTTCAGGAATACTAGCTAATAATTGGCAATTTTTGTTTAAGCCTTCTAACAAGGGTTGTGTTTGGAACTATATTATTCATACAGATTATTGATTTATCTAATTGTCTCCGAATTAAAAGAAAAAGAAATTGTCACTGTAGCCTCATAACGAGACAGAGGTACTGTATTTGTTCATATGCAATAAAGTACTATAGTATTGAATTAATTGTTTTATAAAGCCATATATGTAATGTGCAACTATATATTTACTCCATTGTTGTTTCTTAGGAAGTATCTCTTCACTAGGCACAAAGTCATCTGTGACTATTCTTGACGAGTTTGATGAGAAGGTAGAAGAAGACTGCAATGTGGACAGTGCCGAAAAGGATGAAGATGAAGATGAGGAGAGTCATGGTACATTCTCAACCCTTGCAGAACTAGATGAAGATATAGAGACAATACAAACATTGTTAGAGACACTACCAGCAATGCTAGAGACACTACCAGCAATGTTAGACGCACTTTTGAAGAAACGTGATTGTATCTTAGGTCTCGAGCTCAAATGACAAGTCTTTGACTTGGGGTTCATGATGGTAATTTTTAACTACTAAACCACCCAATTTGTATCTTGTGTACTTTGACAAATCGGGCATGTTGGTAATGTTAACTACCGAATTTGTATCTTGTGTACATGCAAATCAACCATATCTGGGATTCTATATACATATGGGATAGTCAAGAATGTTGATGATATATATGTTCAAATTGGGGTCAAGTGCATAAAACATCTTTTAAATATATTTACAGTGTATATCACATCTTTCACGTGCAAAAAATACTCTTAAAATTTCAATTTGGTACAAATAGACTACTTGACAAATTTAAACCCTAAGTTGACTAAATTACCCTTAGCCATTTTATAAAATATATAAAAATTAAACATTTTGTAAAATAATCGAAAAGGACAGCATTGGAGGATGTCCCTCTAGTGCAAAAAATACCCCTAAAGTTTCAATCTGGTACAAATAGGTCCCTCTGACAAATTTAAATCCTAAGTTGACTAAATTGCCTTGTACCATTTTATAAAATATATAAAAATAAATAATTTTATAAAATGACCGAATATGACATTATTGGAGGACGCTGGCAATAGACAAGTAAAGATAAAAATAGAAATAAAAAATAAAAATAAAGTGCAAACTAAAAAAAACAAAAATTTCCAAACTCCAAAAACCAATGCACACTGATATTGAGAATTTTTTTTTCTTTTTTGGTTTAACAATGTTGGTACAAAAATACTAATAATAATAATAATAATAAAGAAAAAATAATTAGTAGAAAAGACTAAATTGGATATTAAAAAAATCAAATATTTATTTTACAAATTCTCAAAGTTTAAAAAAAATAATAATAAAAATAAAAAATAAAAATTTAGAGACATATATGGAGAAAAAAGTTTCAAAATAATAATGAGGTAATGTGCATATAACATCCTTATAGTATGAGATTAGTATCATATATACCCCCTTGACCATTTTTAGAAGAGTAAAAAGGCAAAATGGGTATTACAATACTAATTTATGACAAATGGGGTATTTTTGCACAATGTGAAAAAATTAGGGTATTTTTCACACACTTTTTCAAATAGGGGATAAAAGTGTTACACGGAATATACTTTATGTAACGACTCGAACCCGGGGGTCCGAATCGCAAACCGGATCTTTACCCGAATTCGATAACACACTAGGGGTAAAATGGTAATTCAATACAAACTTACAAAAAAATGGAGGTATGTACATCAATTACAACAGAAACCAAAATCCCATCCAATCCAACTAAGCTTGTGCGGGAGTGTCATCCGCCACTTCTTTTCCGTGACTTGAAAATGGAATATAAGGGGTAAGCACAACGACTTAGTAGAAGGTGCCTAAAATACATCTTTTAATGATTGATGTGTGTCAAATGTATACCACTCGCAATAGTACGAATTTTTATAGGATAGAACTATATAGAGGGTGTCGATCCCACATGCAGATGAGTGTTCTTTGTTTTGTTTTCAATTAATCCAATTTTTCTAGTTTAATTAAAGGTAACTGATTTGATTTGATTGATTTGTTGTCACGAATATAAAATAAAATTAAACTGAAATTCAAATTAAGATATCAGAGAAAGAAAGAGTCTTAGGGCTTGACTTCATCACGAACCTTATACTATGGCCAATTGTTCAACCTTGAGATTTCAACAATTTATATATTCAATGAATTAAACTCAATAACGTTCGTTTAATTCAATTTTAAAGAAAGATGTTTTATAATTTTCAATTAATTATAACATATTTGCGGTCAGCATGAACTACCCACCTATCTACTTCTAACTACTTTAACTAAATATTTTTCCTAAGCATAGACTATGAAAATATTCTTTTATAAAAAAACATTAGAACACCATTACATGATCTACATTCTTATGTCCGAGAAGCTATTAGCCGCCAATCTTGTACGTTAAGAATGAGTTGAGAATAATTGTTGAATATTTAAATCTAAGACAAGGTATTGAATATTCAAAAATTATTTAACATTAAAAACCAATTGATGTGACTCGATTGCTCAGAAACATACGATCAAAATATATAATTCATTAAAATACTCAAAGTTAAAACAATCAAACCTCAGTACTTAGATGCTACATACCTTTCACAAGGAACATCCCCTCACTCTAGTAGCTGAATCGCCTTATAAAGAAGCAGGTGCATCACCGTACTGCCACGCCTGCCGGGTGAAATGTGAAGGGTTCATTTTCCATTGCTCGGAATGTAAATTTTTTATTAGATTTTGTAATAAAAATTTGGATTTTCCTCTTTTTTTAAAATTAATTCAGACAGCTGGTGATGATGGAGTCAATATTTCAGACATAACAGCTACCTATTTTTAAAGCATATCTTTATGAGGAATGTGAACAACATAACATATATATATATATATATATATAAACGAATCTGAAAATGGACAGATTACCTTTATATAATTATAAAGCCCTTCATTATAGTGATAATCGTCACTTAAGAGACTAAAAACCAAGTACTTTTTAAAACAATTATTTAATGCCCATAATAAATATCGAATTACCAAATTAATTCCCAATTAAATATATAGAGAGTATTATTATCTTGTGAAGATAGAGAGATTCATAAAATAAAAAAAAACATATACGGCGTAAAATTCATTAAAATATATATAATATCATATGCTTGAAAATTTTCTCATACATAATATATAAGAATATATATATATATATATATATATATATATATATATATATATACACACACACGGTTGAATTACCCAAATCTAAACATCAAAGATTACTGCATTAGTGCATAATCATCAGTGAAAAAATCATGTATATAAATGTGCCGCTACACTACTTATGCCCACCACCAACAACAACAAGGCAAGTGAGCAACAAACTCACCCTCATCCCTTGATTCCTTGTTTTAGGAAGTACAAGCAGGCCTCGGATTTTAGGGGATGGAAAAAGTAAAAAATAAAAATCTGCTTCGACACTCCGCAAGGCGCAGCCTCTGCCATCGCCTCAGGTGACAAGGTATGTTCATCCTCTCCCTCTCTCTCTCCTTTCGCATGAATCGATCTTTTATATATGTTTCTTTCTTTAGTTAATCTCATCATTTGATTTGTTCTAACTTTGGTTTATTTGATTCGGGCCTTTACCTTTGTTCCAATAGTGAAAAGTAGCTAGGGTTTTGTGTGTGTCACTGTGCGCAAGGGCGGAGGCAGCATGTGCCCAGGGGGGCAGCTGCCCCCTGCCCATGCTGCCCCAATAGTATTTTTTATTTTTTTTATACATAAATTTATAAAAATTGATAAAATGCCCCCCCTAAAATTAATAAAATGACCCCACTGCCCCTGAATCCATTAAATTTTATTTTATTTTATTTTATGCATATAATTTATAAATATTTATAAAACACCCCCATAAAATTTATAAAATTATCCCCCATAAAATTATCTATTTCTAAAAATGTCTTTAATTCATAATTCCTTTTCCTTATTATTCTTCAAATTTATTTTTGTCGTCTTCAAAAATTTTTATATTCTCTTTCTATAATTAACGTATATTTTTTCCTTTAAAATTCTCTCATATATATATATTTTTTATTTCATTTTCTTCTTAAAAAATTATTTTTTCTTCCACTCATGCATAATTTATGTGCAATTAACCTTCTTTTTCTTTTTTCTCTTCTTATTTATTTTCTTTTCCACTATTGTTACACTATTATATTTTAGTCATGTTTGAAAAAAATTTATTTTATCAGTGCTAACATGCCCCCCCTGAACCAAATTCCTGGCTCCGCCCCTGATTGTGCGTGATGGCTTTCAAGAGCTGAATGAATATATTATGGTTCTCTTAGTATTTTAATAAATGTGTCTATCATGGCGATCGAGTACATAATCTATGGTAGGTACTTTTTTTTTTGCTCTCCTTAAGTCCACTAAAATCTCACAACAGCAGCAACCATACCCCTTTTCCTCATAATTTTTTCAAGGTTGTTAAAATCGGGATTCTACGCAGAATCGTTTTGGGTTCCGCAGAATCGGATCGTGAATCGTAATATTCTACCAAATTGTGAAAAAATAATTAAAACTAACTTCTTAAACAATAAGATCTGTAAAATATAATCAAAATAAGGCCAAAACACACAATATTACATATCCATGAGTCCACAAATCTCAAATCCTAACAATATTCCAAAGTCCGAATATAAATAAAAGAGAATGTAGCTCAAAATAACATAGAGTTCTAACTCATCCATCTTTAAAGTTAAAAACTAAAATTACATATCCATAAAGTCATCATTGAACTCTTCATCATCACCATCTTCCTCATTAGCATCATCAACGGGATTTAATGGCTCCATGTCTTCATTATCATCAATTGCATAAATTTCCTCAACTATAAAGCATAAAGAAAGAAAGAAAATTAATATAATTTAATAATTTATACAATATTATAATAAAAGTTTAAATTTTAAGTTCTTACGTGTCCTAGTCATCCTTTTTACTTCATCTTCTTCATCGATATCATCTTCTTGAACTTTGTCATCAAGAACCCTTAACCATTTAGTTTTTGTTGGAAGAACCAGATCCTTTTTTTCGGTAATTCATTCATCATCGAAAGAAACATCGGAAGAAACAAATTGGTTCTACGACGGCTTGTCTTTTCACGTGCCTCTCCCTCAATTTTATGTTATACATAACAAATACCAAATCATTCAGTTTTTTTTGTTGCAACCGGTTTTTCCTTTTTGAATGCACCTAAATATATTGCCAATAAGGTTAAAACTTAAAATTAAACTATGACATTATTAAAATTTTGGAACTATGCATTATTCGATAATTTACCATCTCAATGGCACTCCAGTTCCTTTCACATCCCGAAGAGCTACATGTTAAACTCAATATTCTAATTGCAAACCGCTTTAACTCGGGGCACTCATCACCAAATGAATTCTAATTGCAAACCGCTTTAACTTGGGGCACTCAACCACAGACCACTTGTAATGTTTACAGGACATCCTTTTTTTTTTTTTCTTAGTACTATTTAATTAAATAGCTAAATTCAAATTCCCTGGTAAGCTATTCCAGTTCTTCTTCCATATACTTAGTACCAAATAGTTATGAAATGATTTTATCGAATTTAATTTATTATTCCCACCTATTAGATAAACCTAATATTATGTATAGTTGAATAGTTCCAATTTTTTATGTGGGTTACAGTCTTTCTTTGTGTGTATTATTTATTCATATATCAGTCTTTCTTTGTAACCGTGAGTGAGAATTCATGTGGGTTTGTGCAAGTGAAAGATAATGGAATTTGAGTAGGAAAAAAAAAATGAAAAGAGAGAGAGAGAAAGAGTTCAGAGTCTTATAAAGATGTGATTTTATTTGTGGCGGGAGAGATGGCAACAACTTTTGGATGTCCTTTTACATTGTCACAGTGGAAGGAACTCAAGACACAATCAATGATTTACAATATATAATGGCCTCTGTATTTGAATGAAATATGTTACTATTTAATGTTTACAAGACAGCCTTTATGGTGTAGCTATTTACTTATTGCTACTAGTTTCAATTCAAATTTGGTTCTGTAATTTTAACAACAATATCAGATAGATCAAAATATTATTTGGCTTAAAAATTTGTAAAAATTAATGCAGTATTTGTGATTCCGCTGGCTAAAATTTCATGAAATTAAAGGGTGTCAAGGTTAATAAGATTTTCTGGACGAAGATTTGGAGAAGAATTAGAGAATAGCAATCAGTAATCACCCACTCACTGTATCCATGATTTCATACTAAAAAAAAAGAGGGAGAAAAATAATTCTTAGTATAGAACATACCTGACCGAGCCGCCGAACCTGCTGCTGTATGGAATGGATCCGATCTGCTCTATAGAGGCCTCTGCACTGCCGCCTCCTCTCAGTCCTCACTCCTCACTCCCCACTCTTGAGTCTTGACTTCCCGTTTCTAAGTCTATAATAGAGTAGGGTTTTCTGTTTTGGTTTTGTTACTTTATATTTTATAATTTATAAAATAAATAATAAAACATATAATTTGGTAAGTTTTGGGCCAGACCTGCCCAAACAACTAATACAATTAAGGCCCAAAGACCAAATATTATAAAGGCCCTCCCAAAGGCCCCAAACACCCATTTTTGATAGAATCGGTAGAATTGTATAGAATCGTACGATTCTACGATTCTACCCCCGATTCTACCAATTAAGCGATTCTGCTGCGATTTGAGTCGATTTTGAGTTCTGAGTCGTAGAATCGTGCGATTCTACAACTTAGAATCGCGATTTTGATAACTATGAATTTTTTGCATTTTCACATTCAATCCCACGAAAATTAAGAATCCTTTCTAGTGGGTTGAGGTAATAATTAACCTTTTCAATCTCTAAATTATGCTCATACTTGAAAGTGCCAAATTAAGGGTTTTATTTTTATTTTTATTTTTATATGAAGATACATACCACCATTATTGATGTTATTTGAAGTTGGCTCAGCTAGAATTTCAGTTAATAATACTGTCAAAGCACTTGCCATCAGAATGTACAAACACAAGGAAATCAAGATCAGGCTTTAACAAAACAAAAGTTAATGGTTTTTTTCTATTAATTTGCACAGGTCTTCTGTAGCAATGATCAATCAATCACTGCGGTAATTGACTCCCCAAAAATACACACACAAAGTGTATTGTAGTTGATATAAAGAGTGAAAGACAAAACTATATTTGATAGTGGATGCCACATATAACCTAAAAGTCCCACTACTTCTTCAGTACTACAAGTTCAGCCTCATATATATATATATATATATATATATATAGTCACCTCATCCTCACAAATGTTTGTCATCTGTAGTCATCAAATTTTAGTGGCTATATAAACAATGAATGTAAAAGAAGCTGCAGTTTTTTGTTCTCTTCATTTTTTATTTTGTACCTATGAAAAATTTTCACTCTTTAATTGATAAATTTATTATTATTAGTTAGCTATCTTATGCACACTGTACATGCGCACAATTATTTATTGGTGGTGATAAAAATTTATAGTTATTATTAGTTAATTGTCTTAAGCACACTGCATAAACGCATAATTATTTATTGGTGGTGATAAATTTATACTTATTAGTTAGTTGTTTTATGCACACTGTACATATGCACAATTATTTGTTGGTAGTGATAAATTTATAGTTATTAGTTAGTTGTAATACCCCTTATTTCAAAAGGATAGTTCTGGTATTTATTAAAGTGTTCTAATAGCATTTATTTTTATTTAATTGTTTATTTGTTTTTTTTTTTTTTTTATGTAACTGACCTTTTGTTTCTATTTGTATTAATTGTTGACGTGATCATGTGTTAATTGTAATTGTTTTCATTGTGGTGATTTAATGGTCTTTAATTATTTACTTCTTTTAATTGAATTGATTTATTTATAGATAATTATTTGACTGATGTAATTTAGTTGTTTTAATTGAATTAAGTTAATTGAATTTATTTGTTTTAGGGAGGCACACATATAGTTATATTAGGGTTTTATTTACACGGATGTAGCCAGCACTGTTAAACCTAGGTTGTTCAATGGGCCGAGTTGTATAAGGATTAGGGTTTAGAATTTTAAAGTCTATAAATATGTAAATTCTACGTTGGTTTAGGGTTACAAAACAAAACCCTATTCACTGATACTTATACCGTGAGATAGAGAGATATAGAGAGTGGAAACTAGGACGTTAACGGAGAGGTTCAAGGATACACTGGACGGAGTGCTTCTGGGTTGAACCAAGAGCACCTGAGGTGTAGAACAGGAGTCTCAGACGTGGACAGAAGTTTCAAAGACGGCAATTTAGAGTTTCAAATCAGAAACTCAAAGGCAAGTCACTATTCTTCTCCATCCCTTTAATTCGTGTTCTGTGCATGCCTATTTAGACTCCAGGGAGTAATTAAGCATTAAAACAGATTAATTGAAGTTAATATAAATCTCAGATGCATGGTTAAATCGACTGTTAACTCGTTGTATGAATCTGTCTTGTGTGTAGAAAGTTTCTTGATTAAGAATCTGTTTGCATGGGTTTTTAAACGTGTTAGCCTTATATGTCTTGGATTGAATGCATGATTTTAATAGATTCTAGGACATCAATTGAACTCTAGAATAAGTTATAAAAATTGTACAGAGCCTCTGAACTTCACCGGAGGCGAAGAAGATGATCAGATTACGCACAACGGCTCACAGTGGAGCAGAGCCGGCTCACCCCAAGGGTGGAGCCGCCTCCACAATAGGTTGAGCCGGCTCCACATGCATTGGAGGCAGCTCCACATGCAGTGGAGGCGGCTCCAGCCTCTGCTTTTGGTTTTTACATGGTTTTGGGTTCGGTTTGGCCTGTAGGAAGGTTTCTGAGTAGTTCCAAGGGCTGTGGATGGTTTATAAAATTTATTCTAGAGATGTAAAAGGATTGGGAAGCATATTAATATAAATTTTGAAGCATGAATTAATTTACAGTTAATTAATACACTGCATGTGGAAGGTTGAATTATACCTTGACGTTGCTTACCGTTTCTATAAAGCACTTTGGTTTCTAACATAATTTTAAACTGTTGTTCATGGTTCAACTGTTGTATAAGCATATATTATATATTCTGGAAAAATATAGGTATGCTTAAATGGAAATTAGCTGATGTTTAACTATATTATTTGTTGCATCAAGTTATGGTACTATTTTAAAGGAGTTAGATGCTGTGTTTTCCTCTAACATTTTAAAGGACTAGAATGTGATTTCTAGATCATATACCGGATGTATAATTTGATCTTACACTTATTAGATTTGCATGTGTGCTTATTCTGGAGTATAATTGATATGCATTTATCATTGTTTGGTCAACCGTGTAAACTGGAGGATTGTATGTACTGGTATGGGACGGTGACATACTAGGTATGGACTGGATCAAACCTTAAGTCCTACTTAATTTGGATTAAGGTATGGATTAACCATATAGGTTAAGTCCATTACCTACTTATGTCAGGTCAACAAAGTAGTTGGATGACTTAATAAGGTTTCAGGACGGATGATTATACATATACTAGGCCACTACACAGATGGATGGTATTTTGTATTAGGAGGAGTACGGACTTTATATATTTATTATATGGTATCATGGTATGAGCTTGAGTCTCAGGACCATGGTTAGGGCGCGTATATCGCCTAGGATGGATAACTGGACATAGGTGTTATACCCTGGTAGGTCTAGGTACACATGACCATATTATTGTGCGATTTGCATGGTATCTCTACTCAGGCTGAGACAGACCTGCTGGACTAGCGAGCGTCCTATAGTGTGTACTATATATACATATACGGACTACTCTAGATATTGTTGAGTTTTTCTAGGATGTATCTGCGTATCGGATTACTGTTTGGATCGTAGTTGAATAGGACTTGTATGTGGGCCTAACCCACTCTCTCTTATTTTTCAGGTGTTCGTCAGTTCCAGGGTTAGAGCTTGGACGTGCAGAGCAAATACAGACATTCATTCCTCCGACTACGTAGGAATCTTTGCTATGTTTACCTTTAGCTTTTATTTCGGATATTTTAGTTTCTTTTGGGATTTTAATAAGGGGTCCACTAAATGGATTCCCGAGTTGTAACTTATGGAGTTTTGGAGTTTGGATTTAATAGTTTTCATTAATGATATTTTGAGGATTTCAATTAGTATTCTTCCAGCTTATGGTTATTATTTATTTCATCTTGTATTCTGTGTTCGATTATATATTAATTGTTTGATATTTCCCTCGGGTTTGGGCTCGGGCCTGATCAACCCGTGACTCGGATCCGAGGGGTATCACATTAGTTGTCTTATGCACAATGCACAGGGGCACAATTATATTAGCTATAGAATTTGAAAACATCGTGTTAAAATTTCACACTCTTAAAATTTTTTTTGCGCGTGTAATACTCAAGGGCCTCACATTTGAAAGTTCACCTAGAGCCTCTCAAAATATTTGAAATCTCATGGCCGCCCTGATAAGAAGGAGATTGTAGAAGAAGTGAAGAAGCAGATATGGTTGGCAGGGCCTCTCACATGTGTCAGTCTATTACAGTTTTGCTTACAGCTCATCTCTCTCATGTTTGTGGGCCATCTTGGGGAGTTGGCTCACTCTGGTGCTTCAATGGCCACTTCTTTCTCAACCGTTACTGGTTTTACGGTGTTGGTAAGTTGGGGTTTCTCTACAATTTTTGGTAATTAAATGGCCCATATATTCTCCTATTCTTTGATGTGTGTTCCTTTGGAGTTTTATTTAGGTTTCAGAAATGGTTTTATATGTATATGTGTGTATCTGTGCATATAATATATGAGTAGTAGATCCATTAATTCTACACATTTTTTGTAGCTTGTTTGTGAATTTGTTTCTCTTATTAATGTTGATAACCATAAATAAATATATATTTGTGTGTGTATTTGTACACATCTTATACTATGAAAATGCTTTGCAGCTTGGAAATAAGTTGAATTTCTCTTGGAGAATTTTGGAAAAATAAATTGAATCTTTCTTTATTTCTAAGTAAAATATTCAAAAAAGTGGGAAACTTGATAATTCCAATAATATCATACTTGCTTGTCTAGATGTGAATTTGTGATCTTATAGTTTCTTCTATATGTAAAAAAAAATGTGTTCCACTATTGTTTGGCAAAAGGGTTTCTCAGTGAAATGGGCTAGTGGGTTCATTTACCTGATTGTAACATCATCTTTTAACTGTAATAATTTGATCTTTCACCATTTTAACGCATTGCTTTTTTATTGTTTGAAATCCATTCATTTGACAAAGCTAATTTTGCATTAAATTGTTTTTGAATTGTTCGTCCCATCACTTTTTTTTTTTTTTTTTCCTTTTTCCCTTCCTGTTTGAGTAGATGGGAATGGCAAGTGCATTGGATACATTTTGTGGCCAGTCCTATGGAGCAAAGCAATATCATATGCTTGGCATACACATGCAAAGAGCTATGTTTATTCTTTTACTTGTGAGCATACCCTTTGCATTCATCTGGGCATACACTGGCCCCATTCTCAAGCCCTTGGGCCAAGATCCTGCCATATCAAATGAAGCCGGACTTTATGCAAATTTCATGATTCCCAGCCTTTCTGCATACGGCCTTCTTCAATGTCTTGTCCGGTTCTTACAAACTCAAAACAATGTCTTTCCCATGATGCTAAGCTCCGGAATTACACTTTACTCCACATCCTTGTATGTTGGGTCCTGGTGTTCAAATCTGGCCTTAGTAACAGAGGAGCTGCCTTGGCAAATTCAATCTCATATTGGATCAATGTGTTATTTTTAGCACTTTATGTCAAGTTCTCTCCTTCATGTGCAAATACTTGGACTGGTTTTTTGAAGGAGGCCCTGCAAAATATCCTCACTTTTCTTAGACTTTCAGTCCCTTCAGCTATCATGGTCCAGTAAGTTTCTACTTCTTAGTGGTCCATTTCATTACAAAGACTGGAAAATAAAAAAGAACTCTGAAATATACATCAATAATTGCAATGCTACAATTACTTTTTAGTTTCAGACAAGTTTCCTTTATTAATTAATTTTTTTTTTTTTTCAGCAATTGGATGTTACATAAGTATATAGTCATGCTGATCCTTATTCTGTCACCGTGTTCATAGACTATTAATGTGATCTCTACTATTACTTAGAACAGCATGGAGTTGTGGTCATTTGAGATGATGGTTCTATTATTTGGTCTTCTACCCAATCCCCGATTAGAAACTTCAATTCTTTCTATCTGGTAAAAATTATCCATTTATCTTCCTTGAATTTTTACAACACTCAATTGAGAAGAATTGTTTTCGAACATACTCTATGATCTTAATTACTAATATAATGTTTATTTACATCCCCAGCCTTAATACATCTATGACGGTTTGGATGATCCCAGTTGGACTCAGTGGTGCCATGAGGTCAATTATGCCATACTGAATGTAGTGAATCTCTCTTTCCTCTGTGCCAAGGCTTTGAGTTTTTGACATCATTTTTAAAATTTTGGCAATAAGATGACGAAAGGGAGGTTGAAATGAGATGATGAAAGGGAGGTTGAAAAGGGTAGAGTGTTTACCTCTAGCTCCCAGTTAGTCCGTGTTGTAATGGTAAGAAGAGATAACATTTGCACAAAAAGTGCATATATAATCCCCAACCAAAAACCCTAAAAGAAACAGTTTCGACGGAAGTGCATAAAAAAATCAGTGAAGATGAAAAGTAACATATGCCACTAAAAAGTAAAACCACAAACAATTATCTTTCCTCCAATGTAGAAAACAAATGCTAAAAGAATAACTAAAGGAATGCCCACAAGATAATATGACCCGAGATTGACAAAAGCACCCATCTTCTGCCATCCACATCCTCTAATAGAACCTAAATGTTAACAAAAACACATAAATTTGACTTCAATTTAAGAAACTAGTTGACTGGATTGACTATATATTTACAAGGCTCTATCTTTAGACAATTGGTTGAGTATCAGAGGCAACAAAATAATTTTTGTAATATTCTCTACTCTCCATAATTACAAGGTGAACTCTTTTTCAAAATTTTGTAAATATTATCTCTCCCACAGGGATCCATGAAAATATGCCTAACATAATGAGAAGCAACACATGAATCACCCCTTATGGTATTACCATTTGAAACCTGTTTGCAACCCTATCTATATATTTCTTTGCCTATAAATAATTTCACAAATTTGCCTAGTAAAGATAATTTATATGATATTATAAATGTATAACAGACCTAAAAGAACACATTGGAGTCCATCCATGAAGTTGGATGTTGCAATAATTGGCATCATTATAGCTACATATCTGACCACTTCTTTTTCTCTACTGTAAGCATAGCCCAAGATGTTACGTATCAATATTAGGACCGATCCAACCAAAATGCCCTCGGTAATAGCCACCACTAAGACGACACGCACTGCCAAACGTGCAGCTTAAGGATTCCCAGCCCCTAACTCATTTGAGACTCGTGTGCTATATAAGAAAAGATTATTGCATTGGAAGGTACAGATTTAATTAAGGAAAATGGGAGGCATGGTTTTAAATTCCAATTGCATTATGGAATTAATAATAATTAACTCTATGTTGACCATGCTTGACTTTTCTCTCTTCTCTCTCTTCTTTTTTTGACATTGGAGTCTTTCACTCCGGCGTCTGCCGTTTGCATTTTTGTTCTTTGCTTTTGAATTTTGGCTTCAAGGCAAGGAATTTTGTTTTGCTTCATTCCTATCTCAGTGCTGCATCCTTACCTCGTCTCAATTTCGATGGTGAAATCAAAAGCTGTTCCATAAGTGGTGACTCGGTCTTTAGGGTTGATCATCAAAGCATCAAGGAACGTGAATCTGCTTTGCGATCATGTCTAGTAGGTCGTTTTGACAGAGATGTGGGGTGTATTGAAGGGATTGAGGCGACGGCTACGAAAGCTTGGAAGGTTTTAAGCGGAGTGAAAGTTTCTTCCCTTCCCGACGATCTTTTTCTGTTCAGGTTTCCATCGGAGCAAGAGGCTTTAAGGGTTTTGGATGAAGGAAGGAAGAGATGGGGTGAAGCATTGTTGTCCATCGACATGTGGTATTTCACGGTTGGATGCTCTGCAGTGAAGGATCATAGCGTATAGAGGGTGATGTTATTTGGCTTGCCCCTTCATCTGTGGTGCCATATGTTATTTAAAGCAATCGGAAATCTATGTGGTGGATTTAGAGGTGTTGAGGCAAACGTTTCGGCGAGTGGAGAGAGAATCCTTCTCTACGTCTCCGCCGAAAAAATGATGACAGAGCACATCTTTGTTGAGGATAAAAGAGTGGCCTTTAAGGTCAATTTGTTCAGGAAGTCACACCTCGTATCCTCCCGAAGTCTTACTATGGTGTTGGGGAGAGTTCTTACTTCCCGAGTGCTGCAACGATCATCAAAGGGGGTCATCGGAAGTTACAGTTCTGTCAGGGCTTCAAAGGAAACAGCCGATTGCATGCCCACGCGCCTAAAGGGAGTAGAAAGAGCAGATCCAGGAGTCGTGTCAATCATGCCCTTGATCAGCGCCCACCGTCTCGGTTTGACCGTTTCAAAAATCACCAAACACGTGGCAAAGATCGTGGCATTAATGGAGCCACTCATCCAATAGCCACTAATGGGCCTAAGTATGGGCTTGTTGCACATTTTGGGCCTTTTTTGTTTAATGGGCTAACTCACAGCTTTCAAAAAATTAAAAGGGCCGTTAATTAGGACCAGCAACCAGCTTTCAATTTCAGTCCTGAATGGGCTAACTCACAGCTTTCAGAAAATTAAAAGGGCCGTTAATTGGGACCAGCAACCAGCTTTCAATTTCAGTCTTGAATGAGAAGTCCAGCTCTCTTATTTTGGCAAAGCCCAAGCATAATGGGCAACATTTAAGCAATTCAATAACTAAGACTACGTGGGGGCCCATCTATTTTCTTAAATCTAAGCCTAGCCCACCTCACTCTCATGTTATAAGTACTTCGCAGAGCCCACGCTTAAATGGATTCCCCGAAACTGTTTGAACTCGCCGGAGAAGAGGAGATGGATGAATATCTCTGCTGTTGAGGCTGGTGTACGACCTGCTGACAAGGGGTTTCGTCATTCTCAGTGTTGCGTTGACATTTCTTCTACATCCTTTTCTGCTAATCCACAGTCAAAGGGAAGCACTAGACCTCCGTGTCAGGGCCATTTTCCTGGAGTT